CTCCTGCCCTCCCTTATCTTCCCTGCTTTGCTGCTCGCAGCCTTCTCTACATTTTCATCCAAAACCAGAAATAATGGATATTTGTATTTTTATAAATTTGGTTAGCTGGTCTCAATAAATTTTTGGAACAAAGTTTTCTTTCATGGGAGGACATGTCAAAGGTGGGACCTCTGTTCTGGATATATATTTGGATTCTGATCACTGAATTCTACAGATTGGCTTGGTGGTCTCCGGGTGTTATACAAAACATTGTCGATAGCTATTCGTTTCCTGGCTGCCTGACCAATATGAAGGATTGCCATTCTTTCAGCACTAAGACTTTTGCCTTGAGTGAGCTGCAACTCGGTCTGCAAGCGGTTCTGCTGAGGGTCGTGGGCCGGCTGTGGTCCCTGGACTTTTGCTGGCCAGATGGAATTGATCTTGGAGAAAGRTGATAGCTCGGCTTTGTGAGATTGTCCACACTATTTGTCTGATTGGATTCACCACATTGAGTTGTACCAGCAGACATGAAGGCAGATGGAAAATTGTTAATGTCTGCCTGCGCCGAAAACATTTTCTTCTGTTCCCAAACAACTGATCACAGAATCTGTCTCTCCCCTACATGGCCTTGAGAGCTGTGGAGTAAATTCTTCCTGGATGTATACATCGACTGAGGGTCTGCCCCACACCTCCCCCCTCTCACACCCATCTGATCTGGTTCCTGGAGCAAGCTGAGGGTGTTGCCGCACAGAATTAACAGTTAACATCCATATTCTGAACTATGGCTGTGCGGGTTTTGGGGACTCGATTCTTCTGGCTCATTTTTCAAATAAGCATACAAACCTCATGGCTTCAGAGACACACACCACTAAACTCACTTACTCCTCTGGCTAATAAATCTGCTCTTTGCAGACTTTTTTATAAACACCATTGTGTGTCACATTGTTGATATTATGTGTTTTTTTCCTCATCTTCCCTTGTCTGGTTTTTAGTTTTTCTGTTAAGGGTTGTGCCTCCTCATGATGTCTTCATGAAGATGATCCTTGCTCTGTGCAGAGTAAGGTGGCTGCATGACCCAGAGCACATGTTCTCCCATGTTTGTTACGTTCTGTCTTCTTCTGAATGGGTGTTCTGAACAGTAATTTCACTGTGCTCTGTACAATGACAATAAAGGTCTATCTTATCTAATCTAATTTTCTACCGCGATACATACTGTTATCATGAAGGGTTTCAATTTATACCCTGATATGAATTTGAGGACATACCATCCAGCCCTACTGTTTATTTATCCCCATTTCAACAAGTCTGTTTCAACAAATCGTATCCCCAAACTGCAGCACCATGCTAATTTTCACCATTCTGTGAAATTTAATTTGTCATCCATCTGGTTGGCAGAGTCGCGCAAGAATGTTGCCACTGGAATATATTCTAGAGAACTCTGAGACAAATTTGCGCTTTAGATTTAGCTTCTGCTAAATTTCCTTGGGCATATTCATGGGTTAAAGTGAAAAAAATCTTTTGACTGAAATATTTTTCCTAACACCCCCACCCCCATTACAC